AGTGAATGTTTAACAAATAGGAAGACTTATTATAAAATTAATTTTTTCCAGTGCAGATTCTGCTACTACTGAGATGTTTGTTATTTAATGTGAGACTCTATAAAATATGCATAAATTTTACATTGGAATAATGATAACATTTAAATAAAGCTGCTACATTTGCTACTAATTCTGATTTTGGGGCTGATATTTGGAAGTTATGATCCTCTAGTAAGGTCATGGTATATAAGGCCTTTGTAAATACACAAAGTTTTCAGCCACTGAAGTTTGCCAGCATGACTCTAGTGGAATACTATCCTTGATTTTAGCTAAAAAACTGAATGCAAGAGTTGCTGCTTTCTATTTTCATTTTTCAGTCACTTTGATATGCTTCTTTCTCTAGACATACTGACTAGCTAAGTAACATAACTCATTTCTGTATTTTTTAAAGGTGTGTTTCAACCCTAAAGGCAATTGCATACTAACAGCCAGTTCTGATAAAACAGCTCGGCTCTGGGATGCTGCTACTGGACACTGCCTTCAGATATTAGAGGGTCATGCTGATGAGATCTTCTCCTGTGCTTTTAACTACAAAGGTGACACAATCATTACAGGTAACTAATATATTCTGCTTTTCTTTCCTTTTTTTTTTTTTGAATCACATTTGAAATTTTGCCACAGCAAAGTCTGAAAACTTTCCTGGGGCCAAATGCAGGTACCAACAGTGACTTACAATATAGTGGGCACATACCAGCACCAAGCCATTTTCTCAAAATGCATTGCTGTAAGGGAGGTGTGGATGAACAAGAGGCAAAGGTTTCTAAATAGGAGCACACCTTTTGTGTATTTGGTACTGAACTCTCATCAGGTTTCCTTCTTTTCAGTCAGATGCAGGATATCTCAGTTAAAAATATTGCCCTAGATTTTGCTGCCTGTTAGTTGTGGAGAAAAAAATTGTTACATTAATAACTACATTGTTGATGTAGGTATTAACAGAAATGGATAGACTGTGTGATACACCTAAGTGATTTCTTCACAATGTATGTTTATTACTAGGGAGCAAGGATAACTCCTGTAGAATCTGGCACTGACTGAAGAAAAGGAAGGATCCAGTTTGATGTATTCCTGCCTACTTTGTGAGTTTCAGACTCAATAAACTCAGCCTTTCAGATTGGTTTCCTTTTACTCTCTTTGTTCACTCTCTGTTGAAGTTGAACAGTTACCTAGATTTGATAGGCTTGACTTAGATATGGCACCACAGAACTGCAGAAGTTGGAAGATCACTGGAGATCATCTAGTAAAACAGCCTGCCCTGCTCTGAACCTTGTCACCCAAGCAGGCTGCCCAGGACTGACAAGGGTTTGAATATCTCCAAGGATGAAGACTCCACAGTTTCTCTACACAACCTGCTTAGTACTTGATCACTTGCATAGTAAAGAAGAAAAGAAGGGGTTTTCCCCTCTTACATTTAAATGGAATAGTTCCTTATATTTCAACTAGTTCATGTTGCCTCTTCATTGAGTAGCACTGAGAATCTGGTCTGTTATTTCAGTCACCAGAGAGAAATCATGATTAGTGAGAATAAACGCATAGGATAGCTCAATTTCTTTATGTGTAATTTTTAACTTGTAACCTTTTTAAAAAAAATAGAGCATTATAGTAATCTCTGTTGTGAAAGGAGTGTTGGTTTACACTTGCTTTGAAGATTTTTGTATTAATTTTGTGTGTGTGTGTGTGCAATAAAATATTGAATTAAAATGCTATTTTTTTATTTTTGTACTACAATGCCCCATTCATGTTTCTGGACAAAACCAGCAGCCATTTTTGAGCTGCCTTGCTATTAACTACTGAATGCATGCTGCAGTTAAACTTCCATCTCATACTTGCCCACATCTTTCCATTCAACCCATTTGTTCCTGCTCAGTCCTCATTCTCCTATTTTGAACTGAGGTAAAAAAAAACTACTACCCGTGGTGACTCCAACTTGGAATCCTGGCCCAGTGATTAAGTTCAGCATGAAGAAACTATGCTTAGCAAAGATTGGAAGCCAAGGATCCTGACATAAACTGAGAAGTAGATGAGAAACTCCTGCAAGTTATTTACCAGCATACAATGAGCTTTTAGCTCAGATTAGCATCAATTGCCTCTCCCAGAAATTGCCAAGAGGTTTTACCTGTATAGTTTGTGCCACTTCCTGAGTGCAGCTGGAAGTGCAGTTGCTCTGTGCAGGCACAGTGAAGGAGCACAACTGACTGGTCTTCTCCAGTAAAGGAAGTTACTAAAGCTGGTGTGTTGTGACTACCTCAGAGTGCTTGCCAGCATCTTTGTGTGTAAATGAAGAAACAAAAGTGCCTGTCATCACTTGGC